ATTTTTATTAAAAAATATTCATATTAAATATATTTTATACTTATAAATTTTAATAAATTCATATCTTATTTTTAATTTCAATTTTTCTATCTTATTTAAAATTATTATTTTTTATTTTGTAAAAAAATACATAAAAAATTACATGTTAAACTGTATATTAATACAAATTAAAAATATAAATAATATGTACATATATAATATGCTTGCAATTGAACCGGTTTATGGTTCAATTTTCCTTATTATTTTTGTGGTTTATGGATGGGTTGGATCGGATTCTGACCGGGACGGTACAAAAATATTTTATTCTAATTTTTATATATCATTTTTATTTTATTTTAAATTTTGTTAGTTTCAAAAACTTTACTTTTTACCATGATATTAAAGTAATAGAAGAGATTGTTGGCTAAAATAAGGTATTTTAAATTATAAAAATCAAAAGATAAATTTATAAAATTATGGAGACTAGATAAATATTTAAATTTTAATTTTTTATTAGTAAATTTATAAATGAAGCGGCACATGTGTGTGTAGGTCCATTTGAGAAATTTATCAAGGTAACAGTGATGATACCGATGACGGGGAAGCAATACTCAGAAAAAGTGTCAGAGAATTGCATGGAGATTTGGAAGTCTCTTGGGATTTATACGGATGCTGAAGGCAGAGCAATCGAAAAGTTTGTTTCTGTTTTCAAAGACCAAACATTCCCTCCTGGCTCCTCTATGCTTTTCACATTCTCACACAAAGGATCATTAGCCGTAATTAATTACTTCTCTTCTCTTCTCTTTATCTTACCATGCATCAATCTCTTTTTTTAATTATATATGACCATGTATTGCAAACAGATAACTTTCTCTCAAGATCATTCCATTCCACGAGTTGCTGCTATTGTTATTCAGAATAAACAACTTTCAGAGGCTGTGCTTGAGACAGTGTTGGGTAATGACAGCATTTCACCTCAACTTAAGCATAGTTTGGCCTCCAGATTATCCCACTTCTTCAAACAAAACTGAATCAAGATCACAATCCTCTATCACTCTGTTACTACAAAATAATGGTTTAGATACAGTTCTTTTTAATATTTTTCTCTATGTAATAATAAATTCTTGTTATATATTGTTATTTTCACTGCACCCAAATTTATTTTTAGTAATAATTAATTATTTTTAATTAATTATTCAATAAAAATAAAAATAAATAATAAATAATAGTCATTAAAAATATATTTATAGTATAAAAGAATTTATCAAAGTAGATGATGATTGGCACGTAATTTAGCTGTTGATCGAGTACGAGATCTTGTAGTGGACATGGTAGAGGTGGAAGGTGAGATATATACGGGAACATGGTGGTGATGATGTGGCAGAGCTCTTGGCGACAACATGTGGTGGCGATGAAGTACGTGGAACACGACATTCTCTGGACATGACACATGCATGTTGGGGCACAAAAAACACGTTGACGATGAAGTCGTGAAGGTATGTCGCGTCCAGAGTCATATAAATGTGAATGACCAAATCCACACAAGTACGTTGTCAGAGACTCAATAGTCAGAATACGCACCTTGAAGGCCAAGAAAAAGACAAAAGGATAGTTTTTTTTTTCCTCCTTGATTTCTTTTCTTCTTTGCTTACATTGTTGATGCTTACTGAATTTTTTGGTTGTTGCAAATATATGCTTGTTTGTTCAAATTTTTTTTTCACTAGTTTTTCATGCTTTTCTTTGAGAAAGAACTTTTGGTTCATCAAAGTTTGCAATTTTAGGGTAGTGCGTAGAGAGAAATGGTGGAAGGGGGTGTGATAGTGGATTGACATCTAAAAATTTTGATGGGTAAGATTTACACATACTTAATAAAATTGATCTTAATAAAATTGATCGATAACAAATAAGGCGTATTAAATACAAGTAAAAATAACTTATTTTTATAGTTGTATTTGATAACCAATTGAATATTGAACACAATTGAAATTAAAAAAAAAAAAGTTACATTCACGTTTATTAAATATCATTTTAAATTAATATTCAAACATATCATGTTTCTTAAATTGATTGTCGTTGTTATGTAAATCTTACATTATCTACCAGTTCTCTAGTATAACTTTCAAAATCTTTCTTCTTAAGCATTTTTCTTTTTGTCTTTTTTCTTTCTGCTAATGTGATTCTTGTTCGGTAACAACCATTCATACAGAGAATTACTTTATCGGGTAATGATTGGGATTTGGGAGTGGAACAACACAAACACAAGCTTGGCTGAATTCATTATTTTCTAAGGCATTTGCTATGCTTCTTAATTTTTCCCATCTAACAAATAAATATTTTCTTTTAATTAGATATAGCAAACTTTAAGAAATTTTTATTTTTTGTTTATATCACTATGTATATTTAGATCATGATAGATTTTTCTTACCAATAAAAATTACAATGAAATTAAAAACTTCGAATTTAAACCTTTATGCATATTATTTTAATATTTTAATATTAGGTTGTCCATATTGATTGTGTAAGCGTTGCACCATATATAGTTTTGACCTTAAAAGTGTTAATGAGTTAAAAAAAAATTATATACTATATATTTTAAAGTCTCGATTCTTATACAAACCAAATGTCTGGTTAAAAATTTTGATACATGAAGGCATGGCTAAATTTCTCAATAGCTTTTTCTTCTTCGTTAATGCTAGTCTCAACATATTTCATATATGGGGCACACTCAATCGAATTTGAGATTTTTGGTGCCTTGAGTAACTGAGAGAAAATAATGCCTTAATACTCATTTAAGTATTGTCCTTACAATTTTATTTTATTTTTTTACAAAATTATCCATAATCCGTTCAAAATCAGTAAAAAATATTTTCATTAAAATCAAAGCAGGATTGCTTGATCTACTTGTAAATCACAAATAAGATTTTAGCAATTTTAAAGGTTTCACATCCCTTACGAACTGAGGTTAAAGATAATTTATAAACATATTTTTTTCTTAATTTATCGAAGTGCACTTTTAAAGACAAAATTGTAAGAGTCTAAATATATAGTATTAAAGCAAATAATGTTTCAAGCACAATGACCCTAACCATGTCTATTGACTTACAATCTGAACAGATTACGTGTATTTTCTATTAAGGACAATCATGTTTGGTTCCTAACTATACATCCAAAGCACAAATTTTAAATTTGACCAATTTGGTTAAAGGAATCAATCTCTTAAATTAAACTTGGTATTAAAGATGCTTTTGGTTGCAAATGCAATTTCATGCCTAAAACAGAGATTAAACCTTGACATTGGTTAAGAAACATGATAAACTTTTGGCAAGCATAGAAATTATCACAAGTAGTAAAACGAACAAAAGTCTAAGTATTGAATACTTAAAGACTTACCATTGCAACTAATTAATCAAATTAAATGTTAATTAGAGAAATATATAAAAGATTTGTTTCACGACTACAAAAAAAAAAGAAGGTAATGAATGTATTTTTAGGCTTTCGGTATAAGAAAACAGATTAAGGAAAATAGTTGTAAATTTATAATAATAAATGTCAAAGATTAATTTCATTAGTTTTTTTTTATCAACAAAGAAAACTTTTATTACTAAATGGTATAAAGGGGGTACCCTTTACAATAGCATGTATAACCAACTATAAATGTAAGATCTTGGTTATTTTATATTTTTGCAAGTAGTATAACTGCAAAGTTCTTAATTAAAGCGGTCAGAAAACACAAATATTCATATTGATTTCACTCATCTCACTCACATGTATCATTTCATTAACAATTATTCAATTTCAATTATTATTAGGTTAATTTAACAACTATCCAAAGTACTTTAACTTTAATTCTTTAGTTGAAAAATTATAGGATTCCTTTATAACAATTACAATTCGTTATTGAAGTTAATTAAACAATTCACATTAATATTGAAAGTTTAAAAGTCAAAAAATTAAAAGTTATTTATTTATTTACTCTTTAAATTCTAACATTTTAAACATTATTTCTTAAAACTTTTTATCTATTTAAATCTGTATATTTTAATATTTTAATTTTAAAAAAATTTCACGATAATCAAATTAATCGTTGGAAGTTTTTATTTATTTATTTATTATTATTGTTATTATTATTATTTAATTGCGAGACATTAATTGAAATAGTCACGTAGATATTAAAACCTTTAGGAAAATTCTTTATGCTAGTTTGGATTTTGTTTTTATTTTCCCTTACTACCTTTTTATATATTCCTATATTAAAACTTAAAAATAAGCGAAAGCTATTAAACATATACAAGCATGCATTACCGTAATCGCTTCTATCAGCGTCGAGGGAGGCTTCGGACTTAGGACTTTGGACTTTGGACTTTAGACTTTGGACTTTGCACGGTGCTCTTCCTACGGTTTATTGAGTGCTTCTTGCTGTATTTTAAATTTTTTTTTTTTAATGTCTTTCTGATTACAAATTTCTATATTTTTTAATTTTTTTCTTTAAAATTTTAGTATTTATTCGGACGAAATTAGGTTATTACACATTCATTTCAATATATTGTTCAATGAAACGGAACAAGAAGAATGAAATACGATGGCCCATTGTATGAAAATTGAAAGGGTTGAATAATGAAAAATTAGGTGACTCTGAGAAATTAATTAGAGCGAGGGTCAAAGATAAGGACCGTTAGTTTGGCCAGAAGCGGTAGGGTCCCCATCTTTGAAGGGACATCAATTTTTTGTTTGTTTATGTATTTTCATAAATGCTAAAATAAAAACTTATTTAATTAAAATTAAATTATATAAAATTTATTATAAAATAAAATAATTATTGATCGTTAGTCAACTCGTTTCTAATAACTAAAATCTCCTTATTTTAGAAGTTTTTTTTTTATAGGAAAATGAATAAGTGATAGGGTAACTGTGTACAAAAGAATGCTAAACATGAAGAGAAAATTAAGTGTGACCGCATATTGTATCTTTTTATTCCTATCACAGTTGCATATGCTAAAATAAGTCTTTTCGATATAGTATGAAACTTTTAGACATATTGAAATATATAATCTATATATAAAAATATCAACCTTAGTTTTCATTATCTTTTAAGTTCAAAGTTTGAATAAACAAATTAATTAGTCATTGTCTCACTTGCAATAATGTTTATCAATAACAATTAAGTAATTCTAGATTTTTTTTAAATAAATTAAATTACACACACATATATATATACATGTATATGTATATATATAATTTATTTAAATTTAATATAAATTATTAATAATGCAATATTAACTAAAAATAACGCAAAAAAAAAAGAATAGGAATGACTATTCATTTAAATTAATATGGGGTACAAATCCACAACGTGCATGCGGGAACAACATTATACATATTTATTTATGAGATTTAGATGTCTCTTACATTATTTTTATTTTTCCCCAATTGTCACACTAAAGATTGTTGGTATATATCTGGTGCGACTATCAGTTATGAGTTTCAGTGTTGGGATTGGCCTCTTTGAGAAACTCACAGAATCTTGAAGCCAAACTCTCTTTCAAAGCAGGGGAAACTGGTTTCTCACCGATCATAGTCTCCAGAATTGCCTCTGAGAGTGCCAGGTTGTCTATCACTGCATATTCATCTTCTGGCATTGTCTCATCTTTCGAGAAACTAAGCTGCAGTTTTCACACGTAGGAAATGAATAATGAAACCCGTGAAACAAAAAACGTTGCCACCAAAAAAGTAAACTATATATGTGCATGCATGCAATTGGTTACACTAACCCCCAATGTTCCAGTGGGTGATTGTTTGTAGAAAACAGAAGCACTTGGTGGGAAATTATGAACACTGAAGGCATTTCTCAGTTCCTCAATGGCCTTTTCTTCTGCATCACTATAAGTCCCAACAGATTTCATATGGACCATACAGTTCTTTGACACCTTCCTCACGTATTCCGAACCTTCCAATTTTCTTATATTCGACACTCGAATTAATTTCTCAAAGGGACCTATAGCCACCAAAATTTAATAACAAAATATAATGAAACTAAACCACACAAAGTTATAATATGTGTTAGTTATTATATATAAGTTACCCTTGATGATATCTCTGTAGAAGTCAAGGGATTCCAGCAACTCAGCTGCACTCTTGCCCTTCCACGTGGCAGCGAGTGACGTCACGGCCTTGTCTTCCAAATAAACCGCCACTGCCGTCACCTTCACAAATTCTCCATTAAAATTCCTCCCTCTCACCCCTGCAACAATTAAACCATCAAAACTAGCATAGGTGTGTAATATAAATCTCATAACATGTCAAATATTTCAGCTAGCTAGCTAGGTTAGATGGTAGCTAAGTAATAATTATTAACATATATATTTTGATGCATGCATGTATTATTGTTTAAGAAGAAAGGAGGGAAATATTATGTTGTTTAAGAGGAGCAACCTGCGCCACCAAGGAAATAGGATTTTGTGGAGCCCGGAGGTGTCACCGTCGCAGGGAATTCAAGGAACTCCACTTTGACTCCAGTGACATTGGATAGTGTTTCAGCCACCATGACATATAATTTGTAACACTAGACCTAGCTGCAGCACCGGAGAGAATGTTTTGTTGGAAATATGTTGAAGCAAAATGGTTTATATAGAAGGCGTTTCAACCATAAAAATCATGGACAGCAACATGTTTTAATTAATATATTCTAACTTCCGGTCAAATGAGGCAATTCCTCCTACTTTTATTAAAGAAAATTTAAAATTTTACACTATTACATCATTGACTACAAATATATAACCTTTTTTTAAAATCTTATTTCTCCCAAGTAAGTGTGTATTTGCATTAGATTATACCTTGGTTATTTCTACCAAAATAAGTGTTTATTTGCATTATCACTGAATGATATAACCTTTAATTAATTTTTGGAAGATGATTTCCAAATAAAAATCTATCCTTTTAATTTTTAAAAACAAATTCTTTTAACATGAGTCATTTTATAATAAAGTCCATATAACATTAAAAAAAATTGTTTTCATCGCTTAAATAAATTAATTAAGCGATGAACAATAACTACCCTTTACTATTTACATTCAAAATTTGAATTTATTGTTTTTAACCAAACTTTTAATATAATATAAATATAATTTCTTCGCACGTCACATTTAATATAGATGGTGTGATCATTTTTTTTCTTCTTACAATTATAATTTCTAAATATGATAAAAGTTATAATTATATCTAGATATAATAAAATTATTATTCTCAAATACAATATAATTTTATTTTATAGATTAAACTAAATAATAATAGCTTTCAAATCTTAATACCTGTATAGAAGAAAATTCAATGTCATTCGAAATTATTATATTTTAAAGTGTTAAAATTATAATTTGAAACAATAATGAGTAAGATTTATTCTATATTTAATCAAATTTATATTTTTATGATCAGAATCAAATTTAAGTTTTAATTAAATTAAATAATAACAAAATAATATAAAAATAGAACTAATTGATTCAAATATATACAATTTAAAACTGTATTGTGATACATATAATTTTTCTTCAAATTGAAATACATGTGTCAAAAGTGCTATACAGTAAATACAGAAAATAGTAACTTTTTTTTTAATTATTCACATTGAATTTTTAATTCAATTAGAAAAAAATAGGTTCGAAACCTGAAATTGCTGTCCTATCAAGAGACTCAATATATAAGAATAATTGAAAAATCAACAAGAAAAAAATGTTCTAAAGTAGTTAAATATTCATATTTTATGTGTGGCTCTATTAAATTTAAATTTTTATTATCTAACTATTATTTGAATATTTATAATTTAAAATTTTATGAATTAAGAATTATTAAAATTAAACGTCATTAGTACAACAAGTTTTACACTTGTGTTTTTTTAATTCAAAAATAGAGTTTAAATGTGAACTTAAACATGAAGTCACAAGACTCGCGACAAAAAGTATCATTTTCCTTTTATAAGAATTAATTTGAAAAGAATTATATATATATATATATATATATATATTATAAAAAATAAAAATATTTTTTCATATTTAAAGTTATTGAACGAAAGGATAATTTGAAAAAAAAAATTAAATGTGATTGAATATAAAAATATACACATTTTAATGCGTATCATTTATAATTTTCTTATAACTAGATTATTAAATTGTTTACACTAGAAAAATCATAAATTACGTAATTTCTTGATAAATATATTAATAATATAGTAAAATAATTACAGTAATTTCTATATATTTCATTTTAGCTTTCATTTTAATTTTTTATATATGGTAAATATTTGAAGATAAATGAAATAAAATATCTTATGATAAAAAAAATTATTAAAAAAATGATATAGAAATTACTGCATTTAATTATCTCCTTTACTTTGTCAAAACTTCCAATCGTTTACTATTTTTTTTTTCAATCACTGTAATTATTTAATTTCACAATTTTCATAAATAGTGTGGGGGATATCTAAAAGTTTTGATGGGTAAGATTTAAAGATACTTAATAAAATTGACTGATAACAAATAAGGCATATCAAATACGGGTAAATACATCTTACTTTCATGTCTTCAATTGATTTTTGTTGTTGTTGTTGTGTAAATCTTACTATTATCTACCAAATGTCTGGTTAAAAATTTTGATAAATGAAGACATGGTTAAATTCCTTAATAGATTTTTTTTATGTATTAATACATGTGTCAACTTATTTCATATATGGCCATACTCAAAGTCAAATTTGAGATTTTCGGTGCCTTGAATATAAATCATAGAAAATATGCCTTCATAATCATTTAAATATTATTGTCCTTCTTACATTTTTAATTTTTTTGTAAAATTATCAATAATCCATAATATTTTCACTGAAATCAAAGTAGGATTGCTTAATCTACTACTAAATCACAAATAAGATTTTAGCAATTTTATTTTGGAAAAACTTATTTTAGCATATGCAACTGTGATAGGAATAAAAATATATATACACTTTTCTCTTCATGCTTAGCATTCTTTATACATAATTACACTATCACTTATTCATTTTCCTAAAAATGAAAAAAAAAAAACTTATAAAATAAGGGAATTTTAGACTCACAGTTCTTACGTATTGAGGACCGTTCAGGGCTATTATCTTTGACCCTCCCTCTAATTAATTTCTCATAGGGACCTAATTTTTCATTATTCAACCCTTTCAATTTTCATACAAAGGGCCATCATATTTCATTATTCTTGTTCCGTTTCGTTGAACAATACGTTGTATTCAAAGTGTAATAATAACCTAATTTCGTCCGTGTAAATACTTAAAATTGTAAAAAAATAATAATATAGAAATCTTTAAAAACATTAAAAAAAACAAATAATTAAAAATACACCATGAACCACTATCATAAACCGTACCATGCAAAGTCCAAAGCCTCCCTCCACGCTGATAGAAGTGGTGACGGAAATGCATGCCTTGTATGTTTAATTGCTTTTGCTTATTTTAACAAAGGAAATAAATTGGTAGTAAGGGAAATAAAAATAAAATCCTAACTAACATAAAGAATTTTCCAAAAATGTTTTAAGATCTAGGTGAGTATTTCAATTTATGTATCGCAATTAATTAAATAATAATAATTACCACTTCGAACGATTTGATTATCGTGAAAATATTTTAAATTAAAAAATTACAATATAAAGATTTAAATAGATAAAAGGTTTAAAGAATAATGTTAAAAATGTTACAATTTAAAGAGTAAATAAATATAAAACTTTTAATTTCTTAACTTTTAAACTTATCATTTTAATGTGAATTACTTAATCAATTTCACCAAAAATATTGAAATTGTTATTAAACAACTTAAAATTTCTTAACTAAAGATAAAATATTTTTATTGTTTGTTAAATTAACCTAATAATAACTAAAATTAAATAATTGTAAGGAATACATATGTGAAAAGTCACTAAAATCAATAATAAGGTTGAATTTGATTAATTAATCGTAGCATAAGTTTCTATGAATTTGATACTTAAATTTCTATCTATTTTATTACTTATGATAATTGGTATACTTACCAAAAGTCCAACATATTTCTTAATTAATGATTAAAGTTTAATTTCCATATAAGACATGAAATTAGTGTGAATGAAAGTATCCCCATATTAAATTATTTTTGTGAGATTCTTACATAGATATAATTGTTATTATACATCAAGAGTTGTTTATTAATCATTATTATTTCATATAAGACTCATTTATCTTGATCATAGATTAGTAAAGATATTCAAGGAGTTTAATTTAATGGATAAAATAAGATATATAAGTGTTGTAAATCTCTTTAATTATTCAATTTAAAAGATATGTCCTTCAACTAAGTTGGTCGAACGATAATCAAATTAATTACATAATATTTTTCATAAATTATATTAAACTTTCATCATTGAACGCATAAATTATATTGGTATAAATTTTTTAAATTAATTAGTGATTTCAAATTTGTACTCTAAATATATAGTTATGACTTAAATATGATGGTCTCTAATAAAAAAAAATACATGTGAATTTGTACTCTAGTTTTTTGATGTCTTGGACGAAGTAAAAAAAAAACTCTCATAAATATTTTTAAAAATTAATCATGACTAGGATGCTCAAATTTAAAAGTAAATATATAAATAGTTAAATATAATTACGTAAAAAATAATTAAACCTATGATACTTTGTTGTGAGAGTATGGTTATCATTAGAGACCATTATACAACAAAAATTGAATTAATTATAACGACATATCATAAAAAAGTTTGCGATGGAAATATGGAGATTCATAATTTAATTTCAAAATTTCATTGGAATAAGAAGTGTCCTGATTTAAAAAATTGAAAGAAAATAAAAAATTAATAATAAAGAAAAAAAAGGAAGATAAAATTAAAGACAACTCTTCTTTATTATTTTACGTTAACATTTATGAAAGTTCTTGCCAAGAAAAAAAAAGTCAATAACATATCACATTTTTCTTTTTACATCTAATATTACTAGTTTGTTTTTTTTAAATTATTAGTAAATTTTTGTTGACTAATTTAAAAAATTGACTATTGATTAATTTTTCATAATTATTTTACTTCCTCTAATAGATTTTAAATAATTTAATTATATAATTTATTTTATATCATATAGACTAAATAATATTTTTTTATACCTTCAACAATGGAGTCATGAATGATAGTCTACCAACCCATGCTCAAGCCACCACTGGGTCCTCGGTAATGGTTATCAATAGTGATCAAGTACTTCTACAATTTTTGAATAAACTAAATTACATATATATAATTCATTTTAAATTTAATATAAATTATTACTAATGCAATATCACATGATTTATGATTTATTAGCTGAAAATAACGCACAGTTTTTTTTTTTGAATAGGAATAACTAGTTTGTTCATTTAAATTAATATGGGGTACAAATCTACAACGTGCGTGGGAACAACATTATACATGGTTATTTATGAGATTTAGATGTCTCATAGATTATTTTTATTTGTATTTTTCCTCAATTGTCACACTAGATTGTTGGTATCTGGTGCAACTATCAGTTATGAGTTTCAGTGTTGGGATTGGCCTCTTTGAGAAACTCACAGAACCTTGAAGCCACGGAAGGAGGAAAGCTTGTGAAAGAAGAACAAAAGCAACACAGAAAAAATAAATATACACAAAAAAATATGGTGTACAGTGTACTGGAGGGACCATCGTATTACAGTAGCAACAAATAAATGTAACGATTAATAAAAATAGTACATGTGTTAATATATTCGCATGCACCGGTCAAATGAGGTAATTCCTTTTACTGTCAAAAAAGTTTTAAATTTTACGCTATTACATCATTGACTTCAAATATAATATTCGTTTCGATTTGAATGTCTCGTTAAATTTTAAGACCAGCTATCTCATTATTTGAGATGCTTCCAATATAACAAGGAGATTAGTCACTATTATCAGCGGTAGATATTTCAGGGACAAAAAAAAATATAACATTTGTTTTTATCTTATTTCTTAACCCTGTAAAATTGAAAATGAAGAGATTTGATTGGATGAGGGTCATCCAAGGTGGAACGGTCTTGCAAACAAAAAAATTGATAAAACTTCCTCACCTGTTATTGCTCTTGGTCGACTCCCTCCGGTGGCCATGTTCTCAGAGCACATGCATGTCTGGAAACCTCTGCCGCACGAAACCCCCTAACCGGAACTCCTCTGCCGCGCGGAAAGTGTAAGGTGTCAAAAAGTGTAGTATGAGTTGTAAAAAAGTAAGGGTGTTTATAAGAAATTTCCATTGGAATAAAAATTGTAAAAATATAGTATGAGTTGCTTAAGAGTGACGTGGTATAATGAGACCCATTTAAAGTGGTTGAGAGTTGCTTATAAGCAACTCCTATTGTAGATCCTGAGACCCATCAATATTTCAATTAATAATAAATACTGAAACGGAAGTTTCAATAATTGAATAGTATACTTATATATAGCCACAAGAAACTAGTTGTTGAATTCATATTTTCTTCTTCATATTCTTATTTTCTCCCTTCTTCTCTCAATTACCGTTCGAGCAGCTTATAACCTCTTTCTACCGGCTTATAAGTTTTTTTTTTTCTTTACTAAATTAAGTTTGTTTAATATGTAAATTTATTTTTCAAACTTATTTTCATAAATTTATTATTAATTGAAATAGTTTATAATTTATATATTCTTAATTTTTATTTTTTTGTTATAATTAATTTACTTGAAAAATAATTTTATCTTTTTTAATTTAGAAAAAACTATTTTACCTATATGTTGATCTCTCACTCTAGTTATTAAATAAATAAATATGTCTTTTTATATAATAATTAGTTTAATTAGATAATTTTAAATTTTCGTCTTTTCAATTTCTAACTTATACTTTATAAGTTTTCAGCTACTTTATAAATTAATTTTATCAAAAAAAATTCTAACTTTAGGTAGAAATTTTTTTTTATTGAATTGTTACCATTTGATGATTATAGAAATTAATATAAGAAATGAGAGATCCGAAGTACATAATTCTTATAACAATAGATATATTTTCTCTCATTATGGGGAATACACAATTATCCCAACATTCTTATTTTTTTATAAAAAAAAATAGAGACACTTAATATCTGAAATTCACTATTACGATAATAATTGGGTTGAGTTTATGCACAAAATTGAATGTATATAAAATATCTTATATAAGATACGTTATTTATTATAATTTATTTTTCGAAACACATCCAAGATAAGAATAGAAATAGAGAGTATGAAAATGAGCAGTGAGGAGAAGGAAAGGAGAAAAAGAAGTATACATGCATACATGTCTCAAAATAACTCATCCAATGTGAGTGTGGTATGGTATGGTATGTATATATATAATAATATATGTGGTTGTGAATTGTGATGCATTTGTGGTCATATTTTAATTCCCTGCTGGTCCAATAGCGCAGGCAATCTTGAAGCCAAACTGCGTTTCAAATCAGGAGAAACAGCGTGTTCGCCAATCATGGTCTCCAACACTGCCTCTGATAAAGCCTTGTTTTCAATAACTGCACCCTCTTTTCCTGGTAGTGTCCCATCTTCAGAGAAACTTAACTATAAATTTAAAAATAGAGTTAATCATCCATAACATTTAAATTATTTTATTTTATTAAATAAGTAACTGAATAATAATAATGTAAGTGAAATGAATTGAGAGTTGGTGTTGACTAAAAGTGTAAAAGGACACTAACCCCTAATATTCCATGAGGTGATTGTCTGTAGAAAACGGAGGCACCAGCTGCAAAATTCACGTTTTGGAAAGCTTGGGCAAACTTTTCAATGGCGGCGGCTTCAGCTTCTCCATATGTCCCCACAGACTTCATGTGTGCCACGCAGTTTTCCATCACCTTCCTCGAGTATTCTCGCCCACTCAATGGCAGAATCTTCGACCCTCTAATTAGCTTTTCAAATGGGCCTAAAAAAACAACTTACCCATTAAACCTTTCCTACCAAGTACCAACCTCTCTCTCATCTATCTATCATTCATTAGTAATTTGATTGCACACGATCGATTAATCATTATTTTAACAAATAGTTTAGAATAGGAGAAAATACCAATAAGATCGGAGTCGATTAATTACACAATCATCTATATCTTTTATTACATAATTAATTAATTACCTGAAATGATATCTCTGAAGAAGTGTAGGTTATCCAGCAATTGTTGTGAAGGGTTACCCTTCCACTTAGGGGCGAGTGATTGGATGGCTTGATCCTCCAAGTATACTCCTATGGCTGTGAACTTTATGAATTTCCCCTCGATCATCAATCCTCTCTCCCCTACGTTCAATTAATGCATAATTATAATCATATACTAATAAGATATATGTATGAAAGAGATAAATAAATAATTGAATTACCTGCACCGCCGAGGAAATAGGTCTTGGCGGAGGCTGGTGAAGTAACGAGGGCAGGGAATTGAAGGAACTCCACCTGCACTGGGTCTGGGGTGATGGTTGCCATTTAAATTAATAGTAAATATACAACAAAACACTCTTTCTTTTAACAGTGCAAGAGAAGAAGGACTTATATATATAGGGATTCCATACATCTTCTCTCTTTTATTAGCCATTCTCTTTTCGTAAAATTCATGCCACCAAAGCAGAATACTTTTCTTTTAATAAAAATATATATTATTTTAATATATATTATTTATTATTGTTATAAAAATGTTGACCAGTGTCTAAAGATGACAATTTATTTTGCCCGCCAAAATGGAATAGGTTGTCTCTCTGAGTTTTATTCCAAATATATATTTTATTTTAAATTATTATTATATTTAATGTTAATATTAAGTGAATGAATAGGAAGTAGAGTTCCCTTCAAAAATAGGATAGAGGAAATAAAGTTAATAAAAAAAATTTAACCTTAAGTAACTTTAAAATTTAATAATTATTACTTATAATTAGGATTAAAGAAAAATTTAATTTATTACTTATAATTAAAATTAAAAGTATACTTAAGATTTTATTTTTAATATTGAACTAACTTTTAAGCATGTATCAAATATTTCTTTTATAACAGTTAATTATACATTAATATGTAACACTTAAGTTTTACATGTATTACACATTAATATGTTAACAACTCATTAGGATGGCGGTATGGTATAAAAAAACATGGTTGGACTTAAAAGAAGAAATTTCATTAGGTGTGATTAGTTAAGTTTTTCAATGAAAAATTAGTCATTAATAAAATTAATGAATATTTCGTATCAATGATATAATTATAAAAAAAAATAAAATTGAGTTGATAGATTATGATGCATTGATGGGTAACATTAACTAATGTTTTTTTTTTTTAATAAATAATTTTAAAGGCTTTTTTTTTTATTGTTTTCAAATTAACTATATATTAATCACGAATAACTACGTGGGAGTGTTTTGAATTTTTTTATGAAAGTATTATTTAGATATTATTTTAAATTTTTATCTAATTTAATTTTTAGTTATCATAATTATTTATGAATTAAATTTTAATATTTTAAAATAATTTATCAATAAATAAAAATAATTTGTTCTATAATAAAAATTTGTTATCATAAATATAAAATAAATTTATATATTTAAAAATATCTATTTATGTAAATTTAAATATAATTTATATATTAAAAAAATTATCTATATAATTTATTATAAAAATTAATAATTAATTTATTATAAATTTTAGTTATATATTAAATATTGTTAAATTGTACTTTTGAATCTCTTTATTTTTACCAATCCATAATTTTAATCATTCTATTTTAAAATAAAGATATTTAGTCTCTTTAATTTTTAAAATATAAAATTTTAATTTTTTTTAACAAATAAATATTTATTAATCATTAAATTTTAATATTTATTCTTACTCAAATGAGATGACATTTAGTAATATGACATTAAGAGATAAAAAAATTTTAAAAAATTATATAAATAAGATTTTTTTAATAGAATAATCCCTAATCACTTATTGAAATATACACAAATAAATATTTTTATATATTATTTTTTAGTTTTTAATTTTACATGTCATATTATTAAATATTATATTACTTAACTAATATCAGATCACACAACATTGTCAAAATATAATGATAACAAACATCAAATTAAAATATATTAAAACAATAAATATAATTAAAATTTAAACTCTTTAATTTATAATAATAATAATAAAAATTATTATTATAGACTGATTGAGGGTGAGTTCTTTCTCACCTACCCACCGAACTTGACTCTCTCGGACACTTTGACCCCAAAATTAAATTATTTTATTTGAAAGTCATTGCATTATTTGCATCTCGCGTCCTACTTTTCATGGCAGCTTTGAAACTTCAAAGTGTCAGAATTATTTATTTATTTATTTTATCATTATCGTAGTACTCCTACATCATTTGTCTAGAATCATGTTAAAAATACTAATAAAATGGAATAACTTTAGATGTATATTTTAAAAAATTTACTCTAGTATATGAACAATTATTTTGTTTTAAAATATATCCACTATGTATTTTTATTAATAATTATTAATTTTATTATTTATTATTGTAAATTTATAAGAATTTAATATAATTTTTAAAATTCGTTTGATTACTCATAAATATTTATAAGAATATTAGTATAATTTTTTTTAGAAAATAAAGATTAACACTAGTTATAATATTACTTTCTTAGTTATATAAATATTTTTTACAAAAAAATCCTTTATAAAAAATGAATTTCTTCTTCCTTACAAAGTGTAACTATGTCATAATCTTACATAAAAATATATATTTAGCTTAAAATAAAAAATCAACAATTTACATATGATTCAATTATATATAAAATTACAGTAAAATCAAGTGTAAAATATAGTTTTTATGATTTATTATAATAAGAAAATAAATTTAAATTCAAAATTAAATAAATAATTAAAATAAAAATATAAGTAAACTAGAAAACAATAGAAAAAAAATATAACTTTTTTTTGCTTTAGTAATTTGCAAAAATTAGAAGTTAAAAATCAAATTAGCAATGCAGTTTTATACTTTATAAATTTTAAATAACTATAAAATATCATACCTTATGAAAATTATATAATCATATAATTTTTATTATTATATTAATTAGAAAATTGGTAAAAAAAAAAATAATTCTTACCTAATAACAATAAAATATTTTATAATAAAAACGCAATAAAATAATTTATTAAAAGTTTATAGTCAAACGTTGCATTGATTTTATTTTTTTTTCTTAAAAGATATAATTAAAAATGATAAAAGAATAATATATCTAATGAATTATTTAATTTAATTTATATTTTAATTAGTTAATAAAATTAATGTATTTTCGTATTTGTTGTTCAAGTGATAATGAATAAAAAAATATTAATTAAATTTTTTATTTTAAAAAATAATATTACGATCTTTTTATATATATAAATTTTTTTATCAAAGTGTTAAATTCTTACATCCGTGATAATATTTTATGAAAAAGTAGGATAAAAATGATTATAAAAACTTTGTTTACTGAAAATCTTTTATTTTTAAATAATTATTAATAAAAAAACTAAAATATCTAATTTAAGATTTTCTAAAAAAAATAAAAATATTTCGAATATCAAACAGCATATGAAACCCTTGAAGCAAGTGAAAAAGAAGAGGATAGAAGGGTTGAAATGTTTTCTTTTGGTTATTTTGAATATGGGTTATTTGTTGAATTGAACTTCTCTCTTTTTTTCAATGGGCCCTGGTCGGTGCTACAATTAAACATTGGCTGACAACACATATTTGCGACCTTGTATACACAAAAGAATTAGTTTATTTACAATATTAGAGTTGTTGAAACAAAACCATAGGTCATGAGTTAATGGCTCATGGTGAGTCCACGTTTCTGATGAAAGCGACTCACGTTTCAGTATTTAAATCCAGCTTACCTAACTCATAGGTCAGGTTGCTAACTAATGAGTCAACTTCACCTGCCATATTTTCTTTAATTTTTTTAATTAAACCTGTTCCGGCCACGAGGTGCACTAGGATTTTTTCTTAGGTCAGACCTCAAAACCAGAGCATTCAAGAGTGTAATCTACCTTTTCAGCTTGCTTTGGGTGGATTGAAGTTTCGGGTTGAGCTTCGGAAAGGGAATTTCGCTTCTTGGCTATTCTGAGCCAATCTTCAAGTAAGGGAAGCTAGATTGTAA